CCTATTTTGGACAGTCATCAGCTTTTAAACTTTTTTTTTCGCCCCAAGTTTTCCAGAGCGACAGGGTCAGTCCTGTTTCTGGCCTGCAGGAAAGGCCAGTGGCTCCCAAGTCACACGTTTCTATTTTCAGCGCCCCGAGTACAGAGAGCAGTCACCTCCCCTTGCTGAGGGCCATGCAGCCAGCCCGCCAGAAGCTTGGTGCTTGCAGCCTCTCTGCAATTCTATTTCCATAAATTTACATCAAATTTGTGCTGAATCATGGCCCACAGCCCCCGCAGAATAGATGAAACACGTTATCAATAAGTACAACATATTTGAGTGATCCCAGCGCCAAGTGACTTTGTCTGACTTTCCCGTTTAACTCCTTCTGTGGCTGGGGCTCTCTCCATTTCCCACAGGGCCTGGGGTTGAATTTTCCCTGGCGCCTGAGGTTTAAGGCTCTCCTCCTGAGGTTCTTTATTTCTGGCCTCTCATCCGGCACGCAGGCCCTGCCTCTTCCTGGGTCCCTCGCCCTCTCCAGCTCTTCCCTTTTCCTCCTGGCTTCTCAGCCCCCTGTCTCTCAACCTCCCTCTTCCGCCTCCTCCTCTCCCTGCTACTGCCTCCCGCAACGCCCAAGCCAATCAGCCCAGGCGCGCGGCTGCTCCGGGTGACAATTGCGTCCCCGAGCCTGCCAGGCGGTCATCAGCCTCACTCGGTGGCTCCGAGCACCTCGGCGAGGTTCAGCGGGAAGTGCAACTGCCTTCCACCCCCCGTGGCCGGGCTGATTGGCAGCCAGCCGGGCTGGAGGCGGATCGGGAGCGTGCATGATTGCTGCTGGGCAGGAAGGCTTTATTAGAGGAGGTGGCAGAGAGGCCCCAGGAACTCCACCAGCTAACACACACAGCACGCTGAGAACGAGGAAGCGGCCTGAATCCCGCATCTACCCCTTCTGCTGCCTGTCCCTCCGCAGGGAAGTGATGAATGAGGTCTCTCAGGAAGTGTCCCTAAGCAGAGGAGGCGACCGAGCCTTGTTTTTCCACAGGGGACCTCAGGTCTCAAGGCTCTTGAGGAAGCTCTTGCAAGGAACACTAAGACCTATTAGTTCTCTGTCTCCAGTTACAATCGGGAACAGCCAGCCAGTGGAGGTTCCTGGTAGGGCGGGACACAAATGACTCTTTCTTTACGAACAAGAAAGATCCTAAACTTCTGCAGAGCCAATTAAATACTCGGGCGCGTGCACCACCTCCCAAGCCCCCAACCATTAAGAACCATTTTCTTCCCCAGTTAGATTTCTTCATTCAGGCAGGAGAAAGGCAATGGTAAGGGAAAGAACTAGCCCTGATTAGTGCCTCCACAGCTCAGAAGGGAAGGACCCAAAAATCTCTTCAGGAGAACCAGCCACCCTTCGGACATTTTTTTCGCATGGGCAGCCAGAATCCAAACCGACAATACCATAGAAGCATCAGAAGCTCCCGGGTTTCCCCCATAGAGTCTGAAGCTGTTGGGAAGGGGCCAGATGATCGCACTCAGCTGACAGCCAGCTCGAGTTGTCTTTTCTTTCCCAATCTCCACAGGATCTCCTCTTGGTTTTGTTTTTATTAGTATGTACTGGCTTAACCTCTTAGATTGAACTATTCTGGGGTTTCCACATCTGATCTGGCTCAGACTCTGAAAAAGTGAGAAGCCTCCCTCAAAGACCTCTAAGCACGCCTGCCACCTTAGGCCGGTGGAATGGGTCTGGGGCTATGAATGCAGAAGAAGAAATCGCCCCTCCCCCAAAGCTAAAGGAATGTGAAAACAGAAGCTAAAGCCAGTGTTTCTGTATTTTGTGCCAGGGTGGCAAGTTGAACAGAAGGTCACCTGTTTTAAACTGGCTCCATGTGCCTGGGCACTGGGTAGGTCATTTAATGGATTGCTTTTGTTCTAGGTGGAGACAGTTGCAAGTGGTTTGATTTTTAGTTTTTTTTTTTTTTTTTTTTTTTTTTTTTTTTTTTTTTTCTTTGAAAGCAGTTAACCACAATATAATGAGCTATGCTTGTGCCAGCCAGGGCTGTTGTTGATGAGGTGTCTAGAGGCCTTCTGGTATAGGTGCCTAAAAGCTTAAACTGGATTTAATTATTATTATTACTCAATGTCGGGCTGCATAAATGAAGAGAGATAAAAAGCATGGTTTGCAGCTGTATTGCCTTTCTCTATGATTCCATCACATCTTACTGGTGGAGCCCGTGGGAGCTGGCCGGGGAAACCTCCAGGAAACCCCCAGCAACTCAGGATGGTGTTTTTCATCTTCGTGGAAAGTCTCTCAGCCTGCTGGGGTGGGGTAGAGGCCTGGCAGGTTTTGATTTCTTTCCCAATTTCTCCCTTTGGTACTTTGATCTTTGTCTGTTATTGCAGGAAAAAGAAAGTAAATCATGGGGAGTCGGCTTAAAGGCCCACGGTTTCCAAATGAAGGCATCTTGGCTCTTAGCAGTTCATTGATTACCCATCCTGCTGCCTAAAATCTCAGCAATGGCTCCAAGAAGCAGCTGAGCTTAAAGACTCAGCTAAACCAGGTATCTAGAAGGGGCCTTTCCCACCTGAAGGCCAGTAGAGAGCAAGGCAGATGGCCCAGATCTGCCCGCTCTCCCTACAGTCTATTTTATCGACGGGTCAGAATGGAAGCAGATGGTTTGCCAGAGGGCAATATATTGGCAGACAGGACCTTACTTTTCAGGTAAGAGGCAGGCTGTTAGGAGTAAGTGCTTGGCATTGAGTTAATTAAACCCCAGTGGTTCTACTGGGGGATGACCTCTTTCCACCTTCTTGGATTGCAAAGAGAATGATCAGGTTGGCCTGGGACAGAGAGAAGGCTAGAGGATTTAACAGTATACTGGTTCTTTCCTTTCTATTTTCTTGGTCTCTAGAGCATCACTTTGCATACCGCCAGGACAGAGATCGTGGACTGCAATGCTCTTCACCCTTCCCCAGGATGAGTTCAGGAATAAAGAACTCACAGGTATAGGCTGGGTTCTTCTCATAACCCCCCTCCCCTGTTACTATAGTGTAGAAGATTTGTGGATGAGAACCCAACAGGCACAAACACTCCTTTAAGGGCTGGTAGGAGAGCTCAGTCACCCAGCCTTTCTTCATCAATAGCATTCCCCTCACAGATAGCCCTGATCTGCTGATATACACACTGGCTTAAGTACTGCATGAGTCTGCGGGCCCTCAGGTTGGGCGAGGCTCAGCTGGGAAGTTCCGTTGTCTTAGATGGGCTCACCCCTGCACCTGTGTCTGATGGCGCCTCCTGCGTGCTCTGGTGGGTTGGTGGTTGGCTGTTCCAGGGAGTCATGTGACAACCACCAAACCATTATGGACTTGTTTTTATGGAAGGGTTCCCAGGTCCCCAGGAGTACTATGCACAACTAAGCCCCACCCAAAGAGATAATGGAAGAGACAGAAAGGCTGCCTGCCCATCTTGGAAACAATCTACTACTTGAGGTTCCCTTCTGTCTGCAGTTTCTTCTACTCTTCGCTCTAATGGAATTATCTTTACAAAGATGCTCTTATTTATTTTTTGAGAATTTCATATAATATATTATGTTTTTTTTTTCCTCTTCCAAGTCCTCCTAAAGACGGAGCTTCTGTTCTCTCATAGCTGTTTAGCCCCAAATAAACACACAGAGACTTATGTTAGTTACAAACTGTTTGGCCAATGACTCAGGCTTCTTATTGGCCAGCTCTGTCTTAATTATTAACCCATTTTTATTAATCTAAGTATTTTCACATAGTCTTATCTTACCAGAGAATGCTCCAGAACGTTATTCTCTCAGCAGCTACATGGCGTCTCTCTCGAAGCCTCTTCCCATACTTCTCCTAGTCTGGTAGCTCTGCCTATCTTCCCACCTATCAATAAGAGAAACATATATATATATATATAGAAGAACAGCCCCCATCATCCTTCCAGACCTTCTTCCCCCAACCCAACTTCATGTTCTCTTTCTTAAAAAAAAAAAGCATTAAAAACAAACAACCAAACCAAATCAAACCCCCCAAACCATGGAGTTGTATTTGTGTTGGCCAACCTCTCCTGAACATGGGGTCTGCCGCTGAGTGTGGTTGAAATGTCACTCTGTTTAAGAAAGTGGATTTTTCCTGTTCCCAGTAGCTATCCTGGTTAGGGGTGGGATTTTGCGGCCTGTTTTCTTCTCAATGCTCTTCTATTTGGTTTGAGCGGGTACAGATTTCGAGAGTTCGTGTGCACATCAGCCCCGTCGGGCTTGCGAAATGCTGTTTCCTTGATGTCGTCCATCATCTCTGACCCTTAGAATCTTCTGCCACCTCTTCTACATAGAACCCTGGATGGCGCAATCGTCTTGCAATCGCAAGACCCATCAGTGAGCTTTTTGGCGCCATTTAGAATTTAAAGTTTTATTTTCAAATTTTTGCATTTGCGTTCTAAATATGACACCTGATGCTTTTCTTTCTCTCTCTCTCTCTCTCTCTCTCTCTCTCTCTCTTTCTTTTTTTAGAGCAAATGTTGGTCGCGTTAAAAAAAAAAGTATCCGTGTACAGTATGGAGGCATTTATGTGCTCAACAAAAATATGTGCTGCATGCAAAGATTGTTCCAAACCTTCCTTAGTGAAAAGGAAGGCCCTTGCTTGAAGGAGCTTCGGTTCCAGTAGTGGAGGCTTGACCTGGCTGGGGATGGCTGGCTGGGGGAGTGTAGCTTCTCAGAGTCGGGGTGACACCCACTTATTCACCAGCCTCCCTCCCTCACCACAGGCCTGGGAATGAGGGGTCTGGGATCGTGTGCAGGTTCACAGGCCAGCAGCTCCCTTCCCTAGGACACTGGCCTGGTGGCCTGGGGTCCCGGGGGCGCCGCTGCGGGCGCCGGCCGGGGCTGCTGCAGAGTAGTGGTTGGGGCCCGGCTCCTCCTCCCCTTCCTCCGCGGAGGCTGACGTGGAGGCAGCCGCGCGGGCGGCGGCGGCGGCAGCGCGGAGGCTCGGGGGTGCCCGGCCCTCTCTCGGCTGCGCGGGGCCAGGGTGGCGGCGGCGACAGGAGCCGGAGGAGGAGAAGGGAGGCGTCCGTGCAGCCGGCCCGCGCACGCAGGAGGGGACATGGACGGCGATCGCACCGAGAGCGACTGGCAGGGGCTGGTGAGCGAGGTGAGGCCGGGGCTCCGGGCCGGCCTCCGGAGCGCCTGCAGCGGGTCTGCAACCTCCGAGAAGCCGGGTACCAGGCGGTCCCCGCAGAACCTGCAGGTGCGCCGTCCATCCCGCACTCTGGGACCTGCGGGGTCGCCGCGGCCTCCCGCGCCATCTGGTGCCAGGCTCTGGGGAGGGGCCTTTAGCCCGCCAGGGTTTGGCCTAGGATTGGAGAGCCTGAGCAGCCCTGGCTGGGATCCGGGAGCAGAAAGACAAGCCCCACCTGTCTGCCTAGTCACCACTGTTTTGGAGGCAAGCGATTGGATGATTCCTGGTGCTGGGAAGGTGACGCCTAGGGGACAATCCGGGCCCTTGGGTAGCAACTGGGCCAGGTGGCATGACTTGGAGCAGTGGTTTGGGTGGATGAGTTTGGCGTTCTTGCAACGGTTGCCTCGTGCATTCACTTAGCTCCTGTTTTCTGCGCCTACTGTGTGTGAGGTAGTGGAGCCGTTCACTTCTCAAAGGAATGAGACAGGTGTAGAGGCAATTTGACCCGTGGAAATAGGCAACACCACACCTTCCCCAGCGAGTGTGCCTGAAACATCCCCAGGAGTGAGATTTATTCAGGCTCTTGGTCGCCTCCTCCTCTGTAATCCACCCAGAGTTTGTTTCCTGGCTTGGGCTGTGGCTGTCTCCCTTTCCCAAGCAAGCTACCACTCACCTCTACCATCTGTGTGGGTGGGTCCTCCAGCTGTCCAGCTTCTTAATGCCCAGTGTGTGTAGAGCTCCCACACTTGGGGCCCCTGCCCTAGTTTAGTTCGTTTAGCATTGGTCTAGCACTGAATGAACCTCCGGTAGGATAACGATACATTATGTCTCAGCCTAAATCTGTCTCCTCCATTTATAAGGCTTTATGTCAGGGAATAGATCCACTGGGAATCTGTCTCTGGGCCCATCAAGAATTATTCATAGCGATAAAGGAAGCTGGAGGGGGTTCTCCATGGAAACCAGTGCTGGACTCTGACTCAGAAGGTACACTATTCCCTGTTCTAGTAGTTATGTGTTGACGGTGCTTATTAGAAGCCCAGCACCTCAGCCCAGCACCTGTGACCCCAGCACTTGGTAGAGAGAGGTAGAGGGGAACAGGATCAGGAGTCCAAGGCCATCCTCTGTTACATAGTGAGTCCAAAGCTCTACATAAGACCCTCTTCTCCCAAACAAATACATAACAAACAAGCAGTTAGATACACCATTCCATGCTTGGAATTCCGAAGACACCCCTGAATCATCTTCCTGCCTTCAAGAACACATGGGACTTACTAGTGTAGTCTGGGAAGAAAGTCGCTCAATAAACAAAGAAGGGAAATGTAATCAAATGGTAAGTTGTACCAGGTGTCCCTTGAGGCCACCTCCCAATGGACGATGCTTATTCTGTACTGATCATGTTGCTTGGTCGTGGTAACCTAGCTGGACTGTGTTTTTAATTGGCTCTCCAATGCCTACCCTTGTAGCTCCTTATATAGAAGGTGATTGATGAATGAACCCACAGATCATGAGATAGGTCTTTTGAAAGTTGTCCCATCCATCCTAATTGAGTTTCATCTCATTAATAGCATAACACACACGAATCACTCAATTGAATTACAAAATAAAAAATGCAAAAGCTTTTCATGTTTTAAGTAAGTTCATCATTTTGTGGCAACATTCATAGATATCATGGGCCACATACTGTAGGGTAATGGATTTTACTGTGCACAGATGTATGCCAAAGACCTATGGTGTGAGCTTGAGCAGAGCGTGCCTTCTGCTTTAGGAGTAGCTAAGGTCTGTCTGTCTTTTGACTACACCCTTCATGCCAGTCATTGTACAGGCAGCCATATTTTCCTTAGCTCTCTGGATCTCACTTGACAGCAACATGTGTAGGAATCACTTCTTAGACAGTATAGAAGCCAAGGAACATGGTCTAAGTCTTACAGCTTGTAACTGGAGGGGGCATGATTTGAACCCATGTATGTTCTGCCCTGGATCCTTTCTTGGCATTATGAAGCATAGCTTTGTACAATATGTCTACATCTCTCATTAAAAGGCATGTATCCTAAGACAGGGGTCCATATCTGAATCTGCAACAAATGGAGCAGCTTTGTCAAAATAAAGCCTACAAGATCAGAGTCCTTTTGGATGCCCACAAAAGTGCACATTTCTGGGTCTCCACTCTACCTCAGTGGATGGAACTGTGCTGTGCAAACACTGTAGATATGTCTGCATGTTAGCTCCCTGTAGCTGTTCATATCTTTGTATTTGGAAGTGAGCCTTTGTAGTCTTTCTTTGTACAGCCAGTTCCCAACAATAAGGTGACCTATTAATTATGAATGCTTGGCCTGAGCTTAGACTTATTCCCAACTATCTCTTACAACTTGAATTAACCAGTTTAATCTATGATGTGGCATGTAGCTCATTACCTCGCCACCATACTGTATATCTGACTTCCTCCTTGTCTTGCTGGTGACATTCCACATGCCTCTGGTTCTTCCTGGGTTCCTCTCTCTCCCCAGAAGTCCTGCCTATTTTCTCCTGCATAGCTATTGGCCATTCATCTCTTTATGAAACCAATAAGAACGAACCTGAGGCAGAGACACATCTTCACAGTGTACAAAAAGAGTAACCCACAACAGGTCTTTGTAGATACCATCAAGTTGAGAACCTTGCAATGAAATCTTCTCACGTTTATGGTGAGTACTTAATCTAACGACAAATGTCTTTATTTCAGAAAGGAGTGAGAAAAAGGGCTTGCAAGACACAGAGGAATAGGAAGTCAGACACACAGAGAAAAAAGCATATGAAAACTGCCAGAGATTAAAGTGGTGCAGCTACAAGCCAAGGGGTGTCCACGGGCACACTGGCTCTGCACATCTGGCCTCTCTCACTGGGAGAGGAAGTTGTTGTTAAGTCCCAGTTAATGTCAATTTCTTACATTGGCCACAGAAAACAAATCCACTGGCTGCTGGAAAGTACTGAGAGGTCTAGCCCCAACTCTGCCTTTCTTGAAATCCCAGCTGCCCAGGAAACTACCTGTCTACTTATTTAGCCATCAGGGTTCCCTGTGTGTGGATTGGGCCTGCTACCTAGTCTTCAGAATTCAAGGACATATAGCTGGTGGCGTTACCAAGAGACTTAGGGACCAGGCATAAATGATCTTTGCAAGGGAGTACCATCTCTTTCTGCAGAAGTTCCAATATCTGTCCCACCTGGGTCTCGCCTGGGTCCCTATACGGCTTCTCCTCCTTCCTGGAGCCCTGGGCTGTTGCTTTTACCTATGTCTCTATTCTGGTTTATCCTTAAAGACTTGAGAGCCAGATGCTGGAGTGAAAACCTACCAGCTCAGAAGGGCAGAAAAAGCACCCAGCTGCTTCCTTCTTTGTTGTCTGGAACAAAAACTCCTCCCAAAAGATGTCCCTCCCTTCCACTTCCCCGGTGTCTGTCTATCTGTCCTCCTGACTTCCACCCACTCGCCATGGTTTATCTTATCAACCAGTCACTTGCTCTGCTCTCAAGCTGTGGTTGATTTTATTTAATCCTGTTTACAATATTCGAGCAGAAAGCGCCTGGATTACAGGTGTGTGTGTGTGTGTGTGTGTGTGTGTGTGTGTGTATGTGTGTGTGTGTGTGCCAGGCCTGAGCCGCACCACAGCCAGAAGCAGGTTCCTTCAGGAAATGATGCAATCTTGGGGTTCACAGTGTGATCAAATATCCCACAACACAGGGCTGTCTTTCAGTTGGTCTCCTCCATGGGTCTGGACATGGTTTTCATTTAAAATAAGCCTGTAGATATCAGGCTGATTTCTCCATTTTTAGTGTAGCCAGTGGTGATGGCCTTTTCTCAGGGCCTGACTTCAACATTTCATGTGTGTGAAAGAGGCAGACATGGCTGATGCCCAGAGCCCGACACTCAGTGTCTGGGAAGGCACAGATGTCCTGTCATTACCACAGGTACCGAGCTTTCCACCTTAGAGAAACCCAAAGGCAGCCACATACACGAACTGTGACGTGTATTCATTACCTCTGTGACCAACTACTTGACAGACATACGTAAGCGGAGGAAGGTTTATTCTGGCTCACACTTTCAGAAGGCTCAGTCCATTGTGTCAGGGAAAGCATGGTGGAATGGAGCAGTACACATGCTTGTGGCTAAAGAAACAGAGAGATTAAACTGTGTCCCCAGAATGTATGTTCAATTGAAGTAGGGTCTGCGCAGATGAACCAAAGTCAGGATGTAGGGGAGTACTACCATTGCTGCATGGACTCTAACCCAACGCCTCGTGTCCTTATAAGAGGGGCATTTGGGCACAGAGACACACGGAAGTAGGATATGTGGAAGACCAATTGGTGGCCAGAGCGGGATTGGAGTTAGCATCAAGTGAAGGAACGCTAAGGCTTGTCACTGCTTCTGGAAGCTAGTCAAGGCAATAATGGCCCTTCCCGTAGAGATGACACCTGGATTTGGATTTCTATCATCCAGGACTGTGAGAGAGTTGTTTTCTGTTGGTGTGCCACACTTGGTGTGGGACGGTGTTATGGTAAGCCCTACTCAACAAGTCCAGTAACTGATTGGGTGGGATTTGTTGTGTTGCTGATTTGGCACACAAAGAATTTTCCCCCCTGATTTAGGCCTGATTGTTTCCTGGATTTAGTCAACTTCCCATCTTGTCAAGTTCAAGTCCAGAGATGACATCAAAATAGTAATCTTTTTCCCTCCATATTTAGGCCTGATTTTTTTTTTCTGGATTTAGTCAACTTCCCATCTTATCAAGTTCAAGTCCAGAGATGACACCAAAACAGTAATCTAATGTCCTGTAAAACCCCAAGACACTTCAAACTCCTTTCTTTTACTTTATTAGACAAAGTCCCACTCTGCAGCATAGGCTGTCCTTGGGATCACTATGTGGCCCTGGCTGGCCTTGAACTCATGGTGGTCCTCTTGCCTCACACCCACCATGTTGGAATTATAGACACGAGCCATCGTGCCTAGCTTTCAAACTTCTTGTCATGTAGGGATTGCTCAAAAATATAGTGATCTGATGGTTTTAGGCCTGGATTTGTGCACTCAGCTCTGCTAAGGC